AAGCAGAACGTCATGGCGTCGCAGTCCGTCTGGAACTGGAACGTGCCCTCCTGCAGCTTCTGGTGGTCCGGGTTGCACCCTCCGCCGAACTGCACATCGCCCGCCCGCGCCGGGGCGGGGCCAAGGACGGCGAGGAGGGGGAGAAGGAGCGTCGGGGAGAGCAGCAGCGCCGGCAGCATGGCGGCAGGTGTGGGGAGGGAGAGGACTGAGGATGGAGGCGGGATGAAGGACAGGAATGTTGTGCGGTGGAGGCGGAGAGCGAGGCAGACCGCGATCCATCACCGCAACGCCTCCCACGTGGGCAGCCCGCTCATGCTCGCGGTATACATCGGCGGGTCAGTAGGCAGACGTGTCGAGCGAGGGCAGACGGTGCAGTGGATTCGACGAGAGCGCGGAGAACTGCAAGGGACAGACGCCGCCTCTCGCGCGCGTGACGTCATCGCCTGTCGCTCGGACAGGCGCTTCTCTGACCACCGTGCTCTCTCGCCGCTTCACCTCAGCCCTCTCAGTCTTCCGTCCGCGACCAGGCAACTCGAGCTTAGCAAGTAGGCAGCCTCTGTAGTACTTACCATCTGTTTTACCGTGCAGGCCCCGGGCGCGAGGGAACTCCAACGATGTGTGAGTGCCCGCGTCGTTCGTGCTATGCCTGTCCCTGCCTCACGCCGTGTCTCTCCCCCGCAGCGCGCCCTGTCCCGCGCATCTGTCCCCTGCACCTCGGAGCAGATCGACTCGCTGGCCTCGCTCGATGCTATCCGCGCTTCCGTGGGCACTTATCTCCGGCGCAAACGCATGCACCCACCGCGTGCGCAAACACGATCTTTCGCACTCCTCCGCGCGACGTCAATACCTCGAGCCTCCTCCGCATCCCGACGCCCCGCCCCCATACTGTGGCAAACCGTAGAATACAACTATATGTTACCGCAGTTACGAGCACTAAGCCGCCGCGAGCGTCCTACGTGCGCTGTGCTCGACACACTCTCATATGTACGTCCACCTCTCTCCGTCGTCCCTCGCGGTATCCGCTTGCACCTGGCTAACGCAGGATGTATGCTATATCGTAGATATACATCCGATCTCACAGCCTGTCATTCTTCAGCTCGCCTCGATGCAAACTTCGCTCACAATCGCTTCACAGGTCTTCCTACATGTACCCTATACAACACATCGTGCAGCGCGTGCGCCGGCGATGCCCCACTCCGAAACGCATTCATGGTGCCGATAGGACTCTCAATACGACGTCCATGCACGCGCGAAGCCGCTGCATGCGTCCTTCGCCTGCTATGTCGGACTTTTGGCGGCGACTCCCTTTCCGCCTTCGACTCCTCCTACCGCATGGACGCCTCGTCTGGAGCGCACGACCGCTGCACCACAGGTCGTACCACGTCCTTTCTCGTGCCAGGTGCATTTTCAGCCCGCGCCCATGCGAATGGCGATGACGGTGACCATTTTTCAGATATCCTCGCCACAAATATGCGCGCGCGCCCCAACCAAAACCGACCGTGCCGGCCTCTCCGTCTGTCTTCCGCCTATCCCGAACACTCTTCGACAGCCCATACCGACATTCCGGCCATACGACGACGTTTATCGGGCGCATCCCGCGGCGTTGACTCGGGCCAGGCCCGCCAACATGACGTCGACCTCGCGCTTCGACAACGCGCCCGATTCCTTCGTGAATGCGATGCGAGGGTTCCATGAACGCCGGAGCATATACCCGGTGAGTTTGGGCGCAATCAGAGGAGAAAAAATATCGCTCATTTTCGCTCATTTCATTGGTTTTCAGGTGCAAAACACATTGTATCGCGCGTCCCTCGCCTGTCCCGTCGCATATTGCCTCGTAATTTGACAGGAACACTCCCAGAGGGCCTACCTGCCATCCCAAACCGCTTCCAGGCGCGTGCGACCGGTTCTGACTCGAACGATGTGGCGCCGAGCCGAAAATGAGCTCCCCACCAAAAGGTTATCTCGCGTATTCCGCCACGCCCCCGCGCAAATCTTCTCTGGCTGGGCCCGGGCTACTTCAGGACAAATGTGGTGAGTTTTGGGCCCATTCGCACGGGAATAGCACTGGCCATGTCGCATTTCAGACGACCTCGGCGCCCACTTCGCAGGCCAGCCGGAGCCGCCCCTCGCATCTACAGGCCACCTATACCGGCTCTCCCGGACGCCCACGTAGACCCGAAGCACGCACGACATTGCTCACGGCGCGGGCACGTCGCCAGAACGCGCCCCGCCGTCGCCAACTTCGCGGGCCCGCCGCCTTGTCCCTGCTCTAGCGCGCCCCCTACGCCCCGCACGCCTCCCCGCTTCCACCCACGCACTCCCCGCGCCTCCGCACACCCGCCCCGCGCGCCTCGCCGTGATCCGCGTGTTGGAGCGAGGGGTCGTCGAGTCGTTCCGGGGAGTAGGGAGCCCGCGTCGCAAACGCGCGGGGACTTCGATAGCGCTCGGGAGTGTCTATGTACTCTACGATAATCATGTAATCGATGAACACGGCGCGCGCACCGGCTTGAAACCGCCGCTGACCCGCCCTCCCAAAACACATGTTCCAACACACCCCCACAAGCCATGCGCAAGCCGTCAGCGACCGTGCACCCCCATAATCACCAAGCATCATTCACAGCGAGTTCTCCTACCGCCTCGTAGTCGTAGTCTTCGTCGCGCAAGGACACCATCGCACCCATCGCCGTGTTTGCACTCCCCGCCGCCTTCGTCTTCGAAGCCTCCCAGGCTGCTCGATCAGGGCACTCCGACTTGTAGTGACCTTGCTTGTCACAGAAGAAGCAGGTGATCTTCGCCTTCGGCAGGACTTCAGAGCGCATAGCGGCCGCCGCCACAGGATCGTGTGCAGGAGTCTCGGAAGGCGCAGGGATGGTACTCATCTGACGGACCTCATCGTTCAACAGCCTCGAGATCACGACGTCGAGTGTGAGTTGCTCGGTAGGGGTAGCGTCGAGGGAGATAATGACACCGTCGAAGGAAGGGGGGAGACCGAGAGTGATCGCGAGGATCTTGTCTTGCTCGCTGACCGAGATGCTCGCCTCCTCCATACGGAACGCCATGCTTCGCACCTCTCCAACCCAGGCTTGAATCGTCTGATCCGGCCTCTTCTTCGCCGTCAGGAAGCGCCGCTTCATAGCCAGCTGCGTCGCCAGGCCACGCGCCTTGT